GCTGGTGTACCATCATCATCTGACTCACGGCCGAGTCCGAGCATATCATTCAGTGCTTCCTCAGCGGCTGCTGCAGCTGCATCACCATCAGGTAGGTTTGGTCTGTCTGCGATATCCGCCAGCAGTCTGTCAAAGCCTTGGATTGGTTTGTACTGAGTACTGCGTTGGTATTAGCCGTTAGCCGTTAGCCGTTGGCAGTGTTAGCCTGCATTAGCAGATTAAGCATTGAAGTAAACCAACCAACAAGGGCGGGCACTGCGTACAAGGAAAATATCACATACCTGCCCTGCCCAAGGCTATCTAGAAGCTGGAGTCGTCAGAAGAAGATCCGATAGAACGACAACTGCGAGCACGAGGACGGCCCCCACGTCCACTACTGTCACCACGACCACGACCTCCATCAGCAGGGCGGTTGCGGCCACGACCACTGACAGTGGCCCCACCTCGCCCACGTGATGGCCGCGATGACGATGATTTAGGCGCAGCCGCTGCAGGTGGAGGTGGCGCAGATCTGGCCCTCTTCTTGCCCCTGTCCCCGGAATCATCCATGGAATCCACCGTCACAGTGACCAAATGCCACAGAACTCACATGACCCACTGGACTGAATGTTTGGAAAACATTTTTTTGAGCCCAACGTTGCATGGACTCTCACAGTTAGAATGTTAATTAGACTAAGACTCCAAAGACCTTGGACTCTGACTCAGACTCTCAGACGACTCATCGCAAAGTCAGTCCTTTGCGTTTGCTGCATCTTGCCAGCGGTGGCCGCCATATCATCCAAAGCAGCTTCAGCGGAAACCTGGTGACTCGGTCATGATGACAGGATAGCAAATGATGGATTCTGGATTTTAATAATCTAACCATGGGACTGACTGGCTAACCATGCAGATGACAAAGTCAAAGCCGCAAGCCGCAATCAAATTATATCAAATTACACAATCAATCTCAATCAATCAATCAAGGAATCAAGCACACAACAACACAGTGCATGCAAGCAAGCATTGACCAGCATCAGCACGCAGCACGTTGCAACATGTCAGCATGTTTGATGCTGCATCCAGGTGCCTTCGAGTCAATGTCACAATGCGCATGTTGAAGTTGGCCGCCCCGTTCATCAATAGTTTGAACGTCAGACCTTTGAGCAGCGCTTGCAGTTGTGCCGGAATGTCTGTGGCACCCATTTCGACCAACGCTGCGTCGAACCATTTGTCAAGGTTCAAAGCCAACTCCGCATATTCCTTCAAGATGTCGTCGGACTTTCCGGTAACCAACTTCAACAAGAGCGCGTCCTGACTGTTCTTCTGGCACCACGCAAAGAAATGCATGAGCGGTGCTCGGGCAGTGTTCATGCAGCGCAGCAGAACCCAGAATACGTGGCATCTGAGGGCACCAAACGCACCCGAGGCCCATTTGCTCATACGTATCTTGTATGCCTCCGCCGAATCGTCATCCAACAACGCTGCCACCTTGCTCTGTCCTCTAGCCTTTGCCTTTGCTTTTCCTTTCGGCTGTCCTTTTGCTTTGGCCTTTGCCGGCGTCTTAGCAGCTGGAGTTCCAGTTTCATTCTTGTCCGCCTTCATTGTTGACGAAAGCAGCGCCAGCCATACTGGCGCCAGGAACTCTCTTTTACGCTCCAAAAAAAACAGCTCGGCAGCGTGCACGCAACCCCAGCGGCCAGACAGTACGCGCATGGGATACTGACGATAATTGACGCCTGGTGGACTCGTCGTTCCGTGCGTGCGTTCATATATGTCGATGAACTCGGAAACGTGCTCTCTCCAGAAGTTCACGCACTTACCCAGCGATGCAAAATACTTCGAAAAGGAACCCATGGTGCTTGGATAAGCGCGTTGCGCTTCTGACAAGAAATCGTCAGCCATCTGCAATTGTTCACGGACAGCAATATGAAATTGGTGCAAGATGCAGTTGACGTCGACATAAAACACATTGGGGAGGCCTGCCCGACTGACTGCAGCCAGTGTTTGCTTTCTTCTCGCTGATTGGTCGGTGCCAGCGTCAGTCGTGTCAGCGAAAATAAATATGGAGTTTGGCCGCAACTCGCCTCGCCTCAGGTCAGGTGATGAGCACTAAGACAGAGACCACAGGAAACAACATAAACGACTCGACACTACGACACTATTACATACCGACAACAACTATGCCAAATATTTATACCGAAGCAAAATCAGCTTCTCTGCCAGGCCGGCAATGTCATGCAGATACGGGATGCCCAACGAACGCAGCTGCTTCACAACCAGCCCCAAAGCATGGGAGCTGGTGCCGCCCATGACCACATGGAGGTCCGACCTGATTGGTGCACTCACACTCACATGACTTACGTACATACATCTTACATTATAAAATGGTAATGATAATCAATCTGAGCCAAGCACTACGCACATAACCCAAAGGCCCACAGGCCAGCCCAAGCCAACAATTAGATTCCAGAGATAAACGCAAACATCGCTGAAAGCCGCCCAAGGCAAAGGCAACCGGCAACCGGCAACACATGTTCTATTGATAACATCATGTAATCATGTAATGTCTTACCGAGAAGCACGCAACGTCGGTAGGTCATGCCAGCCGCAAAGTTCCCGGCTTTCAAGGCGCCGTCATCGCAGATGAAGCTGACAGCCGCCTCAAGCACATGGAGCTTCTTACGTCTCCAGATGGAAGAGTTCGTGGCATCGGATCTGTAGCCAACGGCAAACAGATTAAAGCCAGTACCTGCATCTGGCGGCGTCCCAGGCTCCTTCGTTGACATCTTGACGCCCTCTGCCACATAGCACTGAAAGCTGTGAAGAAGTGCTGCTGCCGCCCGATGCTCACATCGAATGACCGTCTGCTGCGAGATGTCAGTCATTGACAGTACTCCAAAGTCAGCAGCGGCCACATGTGTCAAACTCTTCCGTAGCCCAATGGAGAACATGCTCTGCAACGAAAACCTGCCGCCACGGCCATCCTTTTGTTTTCCAAGCTTGCGGATTGTAAAAGCATCGTCCACTGTGTTCTTAATCGCCAAAGCCAGTGACTGCTTCTTCTCCTCCTTTGCAAGGGCTCGCTTTGCACACAGCAGCTTTTTGTTTAAATCCTTAATCCTGGCATCCCTTGTCTGCAACTGACGGTGCTGCTTCAAGCATAGCCGCACAAGGTCAGGTTTATCCTGGGCGAGAAGATGCTGCGCATGCATTGCCTGCGCTGCCGGCGCTGGCCGAACTGCAACTGCAACGGGCTGTGCCGCCTGTGCCTGTGCCGGCTGCGCTGCTGCAACTGCAACCCTTTGTCGCTCATCATCATCGTCTGATGATAATATTTCCAACCCACCATCCAGCGCCTGTACCACCTGAGTCTGTCGTGGCTCCACCAGCAAGGGCCTGTCACCGTCACCGGAATCATCGTGAATTTCGAATGACAATGGTGGCAGCCGAAAACCCAACGCCGTGCACATAGATTGAAGGTGTCTCAAGCTTATGAAGTTTCCATGCACGCCAGGACCTTGCAAGCGGGGCACAGCATTCAGTGCATTGGCAATCCGATCATTGGCAGCCTTCGCGGATAGCCCTTGCTCACGCAGCAAGTTTCTTACGCAGCTAACAACTGCATCTCTGCCTATTCCGGTCTGGCCATTGCTGAATGTCACCACACCGGTAGCCAGCAAGGTTGCGAGCGCTCTCTGAGCAAGCAGCGACGACATTGCGTTCAAGCAGCAAGCAACAACAATTAATACATAAATTGTTACAGTTACAGTTACAGTTCCACTGGGCTGGGTGTGGTTTACGCCTAGTGTAGTGGAGGGTTCAGCGGCTAGCCTTGCCTATACCTAACTTTCCTACCAGTCTATCGTTGTCCGTTGTCAGTACCAGTACAAGAACTTAAGAACTCATCAATCGAGCGGTGACTGGTGACCAACAATGACCAACGCTTTCTTGGGCAACAACATTGCGGCATTGTCATCTTGCCAGCACATTGCGGCATTGGCTCGGCTCACGTTACACATTCACGTCTTTCATGTTGGCTGCCATCATCATGTTACCAAAGACTCAGAAGGTGGGCCAACAAGCCAACACGGGCCACCGCACAAACACAATCATTGTATCAGCAATCATTCATGTTGCCGCTGCCAACAAACCAAATTGAAACACAATCACAAACGCCAATCCCACGACTTCCAACAAGCAAACAACAATACGCACGGTCTACGAGTCTACGGCCGTACGGCTCCTGTGCTCACAGCTCATGTCGATAAGCATCAATCACGCAACTCACACAACCTCAGTCACAATCTCCAGCAACCAGCAACCAACACGAAACAACGACGCGCTGTCTGTGACCTATAGGCTATAGGATCCGGAGACTGCAAGCAAGCAACAAGACGCACGGCCTACGGCCCCTACGGCCTACGGCCCTACGGCTCCTGTGCTCACGGCTCACAACTCATGTCGACAATCATCACTCACACAACCTCCAGCAATCAAGACATGTCAACAATCATCACTCACACAACCTCCAGCAACCAAGACATGTCAACAATCATCACTCACACAGCCTCCAGCAGTTAATTTATGGCTTAGGGTTTCGGGTTTAGGGTTTAGGGCGGGTGTATATTTAGGGAATAGACCAGGGTTCTGTGTCTTCTGGGCTCGGGCTCGGGTATTTTGGAGGGGTTGGCGCTCCTGGTCCCCAACGGTCAGCGCAGCGGCACGTGGCGTCGAGCAATCGTGGCGGTAGCGATCAAAAATCATGAACGTAGTGGTGATTGACATGTTGTTTGTTTCCGTCACGTGTTGTTGCCCTTGTTTCTGATAGTGGTATACTACTCCCCCCCCCTGTGTTTTCCATGTTGTATCAGTGTTGGTAGCCTCCAAAACACTCACAACCCCACGACCCAAGATGGTAGCCCATGTATACAACTATGTTTTTTCTCGTAAGGCTATCATGCAACCTTCCTCAGAAATTGTCTTTCCATTGAATAACGCCCAAAAAATCCCAAACCCTATCTTCATATCACTTCTGGAATCCTCTCCATTGAATCAAACGCCTACAAAAAAAAAACAAGCCCTGTCTACATAGTACTCCGGAAACCCCGGCCCTTATTATGGAACCAGTTGCCAGAAACCCCTATCCTCATATGGAACCAGCTGTCGCGGACATCTTGGAATCAGCATAATGCCCGCGCTGTCGGGTTTATAGACAACCATGGGAGTGGATTTATTAACCTAAACCCTAAACCCTAAACCCTAAACCCTAAACCCTAAACCCTAAACCCTAAACCCTAAACCCTAAACCCTAAACCCTGAACCCTGAACCCTAACCCCTCAACCCTACAAACCTTAAGCCTATAAACCCTAAACCCTGAATGCAAGAGGCTCTTACGCCTCAGCGCGTGGACTCGGGCAGGGCAGACCATGCTCTCCTACTTAGGGTTTACGGTAGAGGGATTAGGGCGCCTGTTTCCTTGGAATGGGTGTGGTAGTTCGGGTAGCTCTTGTACTCTATAAATAGATAAATATAAATAAATAAATAAATAAATATATATATATATATATATATTATATTTTATATGTATATGGATTGCAAGGGGAGTGTTGGGAATTATTCGCGCTCGTGTCTTTTGACTTTGGCTTCGACTCGACCTGAACAGTAAACGGCTTAGGATTCATTGTGTGTGTAACAGCAGCTACAAACAATTTCCTAAACCCGCCGCTCCACAAGGATTTGCTCTAAGACTACACCAAACCCCAAACCCCCGAAGCCCTAAGGTGACAAATGAAGCCCAACCGTAACCCCTAGTGAAACCCTAAAAGCCCAACCCTACACCCTACACCCTACACCCTACAACCTACACCCTACACCCCACACCCTACACCCGACACTCTACACCCTAAACCCTAAACCCTAAACCCTAAACCCTAAACCCTGAACCCTAATCCTTCAACCCCCCCTTGAAACAACAAACGAGCCTGCGGTCCGCAGTCCAGCTCAGCGGGCTTCACGTGCAGGCAACCTGTAGCCAGCAGCTGTGGGGCGATTAGGACACGATGCTAGGGTTTAGGGTTTAGGGTTTAGGGTTTAGGGTTTAGGGTTTAGGGTTTAGGGTTTAGGGTTTAGGGTTTAGGGTTTAGGGTTTAGGGCCTAGGGTTTAGGGTTAGGGTTTTAGGGTTTAGGGCTTAGGGTTTAGGGCTTAGGGTTGACAATCTTAGGGTTGGGAGCTTTGCGTATCTCGGGTTTCGAGATCCAGCTTTCGAGCTCAGTGATTTCGAGCTGCTGACCCCAAACCCTAAACCCTAAACCCTAAACCCTAAACCCTAAACCCTAAACCCTAAACCCTAAACCCTAAACCCTAAACCCTAACCTGCTTCCTGAGGCAGGGGCAGGATGACTCCTTGCGCAGCTGCTCGCATGTGGGCTGTGAGGGTTTCGGATGTGTTTTAAGGGATCGACTAAAAGTATTCCCCCCATGGTCCCTATATGGCTTTACTACAATAACCGCCAAAACCCTGTTCTTCTAAGTACTCAGGCCCCTATATTGGGTTGTAGGACACTGTAAAACTAAACAAGCAGCAAGATGTCTGACGCATGGCCAGTTCTCAAAATTGGGGTCCATCTTTGGGTTTGGGTACTGTACCCTATAGAAGAGGGGCTTATACTAAGGAGCCTCAAAAAAGACCATCAAAAAGGCAATCCACCACATCCTTCTTGAATGTAGAGACCCAAGTCTCTGAACCCTGGAGGAGACTGAGGAGGCCAGAGGGGCCGGCCATTTCGTGATGATGGGGGGAAATATAGGGGCCGTAATGATTAGAATAGGGTTTTGGGGGTCGGTTACTATCGTATAATTAGAAAAGGGACCCGAAATGAAAAATGAAGGCAATTATTCCGACCTCGGGTTGGGTGCGGTCTGGGCTTGAGGTCTCAACCTCTTGGTGGGTTTTTAGGCTTGGGGGTTTTGGGTTTGGGGTGTTGGGGTGTATGGCGCACCCCTTGACTTGAGGCACCCCCCCAACACCCTGAAACCTAAGCCACACGAAGGCTTATGCTCTCAAAATTAGGCCACGGTGGCTCACCTTCGAACCGTTCGGGAGCCTTAGGGAGTAGTAGGGTGTATTGGGGAACCTTGTGTTCTACATCCCACTTGAACCCCCTCCCTTAAGAACCCTATAACCCACGGTAGGGTCTGGGAGAATTTGGGAGTCTGGGGTCTGAAGGTTTCGGATTCATGAAGGGTTACGTGCCTTTGGAGGAGCCGAAACCGTCATCTCCCCTAAATTACACCCCCTTCACGCCCCCAACACCAAAATTCGAAAAACCACGTCATTCAGCCCAACCCTAACCCGAAACCTCGAAACCCTGAAAGCTCTCTAGAACCCTAAACCCTAAACCCTAAACCCTCAACCCTCAACCCTAAACCCTAAACCCTAAACCCTAAACCCTAAACCCTAAACTCTAAACCCTAATCAGACACACCAGGCTCCTGAGCCTCCTCCTCATCCAGGGATCGGCTGATGTTGCGCTTCTGGGTCGGCACGAAGTCCATGGAGCACTCGACGGGTACCTCCAATTCTCTAAAAGGAAAGGCCCGCTTACTTGGAGGTTCATGGGTACTTATAAGTAGGCTTATATAGGTACCCTAAGGGTATAACCATGGTTACCCTACGTATAACCCTACTGATAAGTACCTGTGAACCTCCAAGTACTACATGGTGTGTACCCCGTCCTTCATATGGATGATAGTACCCCCCGCCCCCAATTAAATCCCCATTAAGGACAGCTAGTAAAAGGCGGAACATCCCAAATACTGACTATAGTTCAGGGGATCTAGGGGTTGTACCATAGGGGCCTTAACAATCAGTACAGGGTCTTTAGGGGTAACTATCGTATACTTGTGTAGTGACCATATGGGAATATGATTAGCAATTATTCCAAACCCCTTTACCTTGGACCGTCAAGGTTGGCAAGGGACCGTTTTGACAATCCTTAAGGGCCAGATTCGGAACATATTAAGGGAACCTTTAGGGGTGCCACCTTAGGGGTACGATTCCTACACCCTAAACCCTAAACCCTAAGCCTTAATCCCTTGATCCCAAGGCGCGGGAGGGGTCGGCTTAGGGCTTAGGACTTAGGGCTCCTGACCCTGTCTTCCACACTCGAAGGCTCCTTTTAAAGCCCAAAACTCCAAGTTCCCAAAACCCTACATCCCTAATCCCTAAACCCTAAACCCCTACACCCCTGAAACCCTAAACCTAGAGTTTAGGGTTTAGGGTATGAGACAACCCATATAGACCGAAAACCCCCCCTAAACCCGAAACCCGCCTTCATCTCCATCTCAGAGAAGTCGCTTGCCCGGACCGCCATTCTGTCGAGAGTGCTACGTTTAGGGTTTAGGGTTTAGGGCTTAGGGTTTAGGGTTCAGGGAGGTTCATGGGTACTTGTAACCCCACTTAGAGGACTTGAGGAGCTTAGGGGGGCTTCTTTGTACGGTTGTAATTGGGGTTCTAAATAAACTGAACCTCAAGTACCCCGAAACCTTACCCAGAGGGTCCATTTGTAGTACTCTGATGGAATTAGGTACCCCCAAAAGCCAGTTCAGAAAGGTTTTTGGGTACCTAATTCCATAATGAATTGAACTACAAATGGGCCTCTCTGGGTAACGGTGAGAGACACACAATGACTGCACTGTTACACCCCCAAACCCCCCTGGCGTTGAGGTTTGGCTTAGGGTTTGCAGATTGAGTGCCAGCTGTTCCAAGGTCGGATGCGTTGCCCGAGTTGTTCTTGGATGATATCCCGTCTGAAACGTCGGAGCCACATCATGAGCCCACTCCCCCATTCCTGTGCCCTTGAATCTAAAAGGGGCGAAATGACAAACCTACGTACCCTCAACCCTAACCCCAAGTGCTGGTATGCTTCCCGGTCTTCAGGGCACATAGGGCCACTCAAAGGTCCACCCAAAAATCTTCGAACCCCCATGTACCCCTTAAGAAGACCCAGCAAAAAAACGTATTCATGTACCCTTAGGCCGCAGACCCTTACCAAGGGGGGCCTAAACTCTGAAGCCCTGACGCCCCAAACCCTAAACCCTAAACCCTAAACCCTAAACCCTAAACCCTAAACCCTAAACAGCCGGGGGAGCCTGCTCCGCGGCGTGGATTCGTCCATGTCGCGCGAGCCGGAGAGCTTGTGAAAGGCCTGCATGGCCTGTCGATCCCAGGGGCTGTTTTGCTTGCAGCCCTATTGCTTTTTGGGCTTTCGGATTCTTAATTGGGGTTTGGGGCGTAGGGTTTAGGGTTCAGGGTTTCGAGGGCTTGGGGCTTAGGGTTCAAAGACCCCGCCCTCTACAGAAGACTAGCAGAGGGATGCTAACGTTATAATAAACATTCCAAGACAAAACCCGATACGGGAAAACAGGCAAACATCCCGACAGCCCGCCTAGAAGCAACTGACTGCCCAGCCAGCTCAAGCGTGACCAGGTTGGGGTTTCTTGAAGGTTCCGGGTGTGTAAGGCTTGCAGTGTTCATCAGGGATTAGGGTGTAGGCTGCCCAGGAACCTAAGATTAACAAGGGTGCCCTTTTCTTGCTTAGAGTGGTTGATACGGGAGCCTAACCCCCAAAAAGGGAAAAGGGGCACGACTAGGCATCCTAGGAGTTTTGAGCTGCTAAAACCGGAAACATTCTAAAGCCCCGAAACCCCAAAACCCGAAACCCCAAACCCTAAACCCCAAACCCAAAACCCCAAACCCTAAACCCTAAACCCTAAACACAAAACCCCAAACCCTAAACCCTAAACCCTAAACCCCAAACCCTAAACCCTAAACCCCTAAAACTCACTCCCGAAGCAGCTGCCTCCTCCAGCTCGATGACCCGGCGTGCCAGCGCCGACGCCTTGGCGAAGTCCATGACCTCAAAGCCATGAGCGGGCAGGGTTTAGAGTTTAGGGTTTAGGGTTTTAAGTCTTGGCTGCACTTAGGAGGGTAGCTATAAATTAGACTTTTAGCTGCCTTGTTAAGAAAACCAATAAGCCCAGAAAGGCTAAAGATCTAAAGTTACAGTAAAGCACCACAAAGGTAATCTAGGGGTCCGAGCCCTTACTTGGAGGTTCATGGTACTTGTGAACCAGTTATAGCTGGACTTATAACTGTACTTCGAACCCTTTTGGGGCACTTAAGGGGCTTATAAGGTGGGTTATAGGTACTGCTATAATTGGTTAATAAGTACCATGAACCTTCAAGTACGAAGAACATTCCCTTAGAGTCCCTTTATCATTCTACTACAATAACCCCCAAAACCTGATGGTAACTATTGAGGCCCCTATAAGTATCAGGTCAGGTTGTCGGTCTGCTTGGCGTAAGTAGGGTGCAGGAACAGGGTTTTGTGAAGGATCAAGGTTTGCCCTAAACCCTAAACCCTAAACCCTAAACCCTAAACCCTAAACCCTAAACCCTAAACCCTAAACCCTAAACCCTAAACCCTAAACCCTAAACCCTAAACCCTAAACCCTAAACCCTAAACCCTAAACCCCAGCTAGGTTTTTGTGCTTGGGGGGGTGAGCTATGAGATGGAGAGATTAGGACATGAGTGGGTATGCTTTAAAGGGCTAGTGCAGCCGCTACTTGCGGCGTTGTGTGCCCGTGATGCACATTGGTGGTTCTTCCTTATGCGAGGTTGTCCAGGGTAGCCAACTTGAAGAATCTACAAAAGCGCGCCTATAAACCCTAACCCCTATATACCCAGCCCCCTCCCAAGCCTACCTCGCCGCACTCAGAACTGATGCTCAAGATTCCAAACCATTCTTTGGCTTAACAAAGTAGACCCCAACCCCCGTGGTTGTACCAACATGTAGGGTTCCTGGTTTCGGGTTTCGGTTTAGAGGGGGGAGGGGGTTTAAGGGTCCTTGAGTGATTTAGAGGAGCCGGTGTTCATAAAGGAGCCGGTGCTCATAAAGGAGCCGGTGTTCATGAAGCGATCCCTCTAGGGGCACGAGCTTGGATGCTCCTAAGCCCTAAACCTTTAAAGACTTCTGTCGCGCACCTGAAAGGCCCCAAGAGCCGGAGTGAGGGTACCCAGACAGAAATAGTACCTTATCTACTCGGGCTCGAAAACTGGTTGTTTCTCAGGCCTAAACCTAAAACCACCTAAGCCCCTTGGAAAAAGTATGGCGTGTTCCTTCGTCTAGGTCGTCCAGGATCCCATCCTCCGATAGAACCACTGGGAACTTAGTCGGATACCCCTGAACCCTAAACCCCAAACCCTAAATTAAACCCCCTGTAGGGTTTGAGGGTACTGAGAGTTTAGACCCTCCAGTCGCTGGTCACCCTCGGCCGTGATCCCCAAACCAAGTGCTTCGACTGCGCACCCAGCCCCTGAAACCCTGAAGCCCCGCACAAAGAAGACAGCTACTAGATAGGAACCCAGTTTGAAGGCGCCAGTATATACTCGATAGCTACTTTGAACCTTCAACCCTAAACTTAAACCCTAAAACCCAAACCCTGAACCCTAAACCCTAAACACTAAACTGGAAGAGGCCAGGCCTGACAGGTGATGCGGTTCAGGGAGTCGAGGCACTCCACCATGGAGGTGTTCGTGAGGTCGAAGAGTGCGACCTCTTCAAGCCCAAGCTCGACTAGGGTTTAAGGTTTAGGGTTTAGGGCTTAGGGCTAGGGCTTAGGGCTTAGGGTTTAGGGTTTAGGGTTTAGGGTTTAGGGTGTAGGGTGTAGGGTGTAGGGTTTGGGGTTTAGGGTTTAGGGTTTAGGGTTTAGGGCCTTGGGTTCAGGCTTTACAGGGCAACCTGAGCCCCAAAAACCAGGCAACGAACTTGAGGAGCTTGAACCTGCTCCCTAAACCCTAAACCCTAAACCCTAAACCCTAAACCCTGAACCCTGAACCCTAAACCCTAAACCCTAAACCCTAAACCCTAAACCCTGCTTTGGGGGCCGAGCCCGCCGTGACCGATCGTCCTCCCGAAAGGTCACGAAGCCGCCCGTCAGCATCGCCTGGTTCTCAGGAGGTTTTTGGGTCCAAGGCTTAGGTGTTGGGTACAAGGCTTAGGTTTAGGGTTTAGGGCTTAGGGCTTAGGGCTTAGGGCTTAGGGCTTAGGGTTTAGGGTTTAGGGTCTGGGGTTTAGGGTTTAGGGATCAAAGCCCAACTAGACGGGTGCAGGCACCCCCTGCAACTCCTGACGACCCATGCCTCGATATCCGCAAGAGCCTTTGATTCAAGGAATGCCAAAAATGCCTAGAGGTTAAGGTTCCGGAATTTTCTGGGTTGGGCCTCGAAACAAAACTCACAAAGAATTAGGCCTGGAAGTTGCGCGTCTACTACTCCACAAGCAGATGCTGTTTGGAACTAACAACCAGGAACCGCTCTATAACCAAGTGTAGGGTTCATGTTCTAGGCATCGAGAAGCACCAAATGGACTACTATTCCCCTACAATCCCGTCCAAATTGTACAGGACTTTCTAAGCCCTGGACGCTAAAACTGCGTAGGTTCAGGCTTTTGGGATTCCGGAGCCTTCTTCTCCTGAGGTTTGAGGGTTTGGGATTCGGGCCCTGAACCCCAAACCCTAAACCCTTTGTTTTGGGGCCTGTCAAGCCATTGCGCTGCCAAGGCCCAGGCGATAGTGTATTGGCCCTGGTAGATGCTGAGCTGCAAGAACTGTGCAAGCGACGTTGGGTTCAGGGAGTAGGGCCCTAAACCCTAAACCCTAAACCCTAAACCCTAAACCCTAAACCCTAAACCCTAAACCCTAAACCCTAAACCCTAAACCCGTGGACCCTTAAGCTGGCCCACCTGGGGTTCCCTTCCCTTAATACACTCCTAGTATGGCCCCTGTGTTCCCACAGGGGGCATCTTTAAGGCCCCCCCCCCCCCCCCGCCCCCCCAAGGCTTTAGGGTTTAGGGTTTAGGGTTTAAGGTTTAGGGTTTAGGGTTTAGGGTTTAGGGTTTAGGGTTTAGGATTTAGGGTTTAGGGCCCCAAACCCGAGGGTGCAACCTTAGGAAATCCTAGGTCGAGCTCCTTGAGGCCTTAGGGTGCGACGGAAGCCGCAATAGATCTTACTAGCCTGAAGGACCTCAGATGCATTTAGGGTTTAGGGTTTAGAGTTTAGGGTTTAGGTTTAGGGTTTAGGGTTTTAGGGTTTACGGCTTGGGGTTTCGTGTTTTGGGTTCATCAGGCTTTTTCGGGGACGTGGCACCAATACTATCCGTATCCTGCGGCAAAGAACCCTAAACCCTAAACCCTTAAACCCTAAAGCGCCTCCACCGGCAGCTTGTGCCAGCAGAATTCCCTGGGCGCAGCATGGCTGGCGCAAGAAAAGGGCTTATAAGGGAGCCTAAACCCTAAACAAAAAGAATAAGGGCCTATTAGATTAGGGTTTAGGGTTTAGGGTTTAGGGTTTAGGGTTTAGGGTTTAGGGTTTAGGGTTTAGGGCCTACTCTGGGTACAAGTCCCTAAACGCGGGTGAAACTCTAAACCCAAGCCACAGAGGAGGCTAGGTTCTCGGACCCGACTCGGTGCGAAGCTGTGCGAAGCCCAGGGCTTTGATCCGCCTCTAAGAATACCAAGTGCCGCCCTGCTCCCACACTTTGCGACCATGTCGGGGCCTATTTCATGTGAATAAGTAGGGAACTTAACAATCACTTGCTAGCTAGCTACTATGAGGGGCCGGGGGCCTTGCAGATCGCCAAATTTTCCTTTTGAACCAAAGTAACCAAAAATCCACTCAAACCCCTCAACCCCTCCCCCCTCAACCTCTAAACTCCTAAACCCGAACTAATCCCTGTATCCCTAGCACACGACCTTTGAGCCTTGCAAGCCCCACCCTCCGACTGCTGAACCAGGGGCCGAAAGGTGTTCAGCACCGGCTGAAAGTGCTTGTCCAGCATCACCTTCTCGGTGGCTTCGCCACCTCAGTCGGTTCCGTGCCCAAAACCATGATCCCCGAAACACGGATCTGCAGCCCAGTCCTGTCAAAATTGCTCTGGCTGCCCTTACGCAGTTAGCAACCCTGTACATTTGTCGGGGCTCCACCCCCTAAATCCTGAGCCCTTAACCCCGAACCTCAAACCCTATAACCCTAAACCCCAATCCGAAAGCCCTATGACCCTAAAGCCCAAACCCTAAACTGAGGCGGAGGTCCAACTTCCAGGTTGGAGGCATCGGAGTGTTATCGGCTTCGATGCAAGGCCAGTTTCCCCTTAGGACTTCCTGGGTTTAGGGCCTGGGGTTTCGGGTTTAGGGTTCCACAAGGCGGGACCCCCTTACTATACTAACCATAGTTAAAGGACTTATAACCCAAGATAGGATCCTTCTAACGGGCCGAGCCCTTATAACTCTACTTATAACTAGGGGGCCCCTTCTTATAGGGTTTTTAGGTGATTTGATATTAAGGGTTTAGGGTTTAGGGTTTGGGGTTTAGGGGGCCCTGTAGAACTTGAGATTTCTATTGCAACTCGACCCCCCAGCGGGGTTTTTGATGTACCGGTACCGCTGTTGGAACGAGCGCATCGCGGGCTTCCGAAAGATGCCGGCGTTCTTCAACAGGTGGCTTTAGGGTTTAGGCTACGTAGGTACATGGACTTCATGCTTGTTGCATGCCGCGCTTGTTTGGATCCAGCCAGCAGCTTGCCGCGGTGTTCTGCAGTCCACGACCTCTTTGCGCCCTTCAGCGATGTGACGGCCGCATGTGCTTGTAGATGAAAGGGTGCGTTAAACCCTGAACCCTAATCCCTAAGCCCTAAGCCCTAAGCCCTAAGCCCTAAACCCTAAACCCAAAGGAACTAGATAGCCAGAAACCGGAAAGCTGGAAACTGACAACCTGGAGTTTCTTCTATTTTAATCGGCTTTAGGGTTTAGGCCTCTAGCCCCCCATCTCGCCCTCCGCAGGTTCGGGGCTTTGGGCTCTTAGGGTTTGGGATTCAGGGTTTTCGGGATGTTTAGGGCTTAGTGTGCACTTCAATGTTACTTCGAGGCTTCCGGCCCATGTGCCCACTATGTTCGTCTAACCTCAACCCTAAACCCTAAACCCTAAACCCTAAACCCTAAACCCTAAAAAACCTCTCAAAACATAGTATCCTGCAACCCCAAAGTCCTAGACCAAAGGTTCGCACGGCTCCACATCCTGAACCCCTCAACCCCTCAAAGACCCTAAGCCCTAGACCCTCAAAAGCCCCCCCAAACCCCCAAACCCTGAATCTTAGACCCTAAACCCTAAACCCTATAAACCCTATAAACCCTATACATCCCTACACCACATAGGTTTTCGTGACCCCTGTTAGGGATACCCAGGCCCGGGCCGTAGAAGCTGATGCCCTCGGCAAAGGAACGGCAGCGCGCGTGCGCCGCGCGGAAGGAGCTCTCGCACCTCTTCTCTTGCATTCAACCTTCCCTAAACGGTTTAGGCTTATGGTTTAAAGGGCTTAAAAGGGTTTCTAAGGGCTTGTTTAGGGATATGTAGGGCTTATGAGGTTTTATGCGGTTAATAGGGTTGTAGGGTTTTACCGGGCTTATGGGGTTTAAGGTTTTCCAGGGTTTAGTAGGTATAGGGTTTTAAAGGGTTTTATAGGTTCAAAAGGTTTGATAGGGCTTCGGTTTCCGAATCTCTGTGCCCTGGACTGTGGGCGTCGAGGTTCGTTCCAGCCGCGCCGGGCATGAAACTACAGGTTGCGGAGCTTGGTCCTTAATCGTAGCTCCCTTTTGCGGAGTACCTATGGTTCTTGCTCTATTTAAACCCTAAACCCTAAACCCTAACCCCTAGACCCAAGAGTAACCTAGGAATGAAGAAACGTGCCCATTTCGGTTTAATGGGCATATGAGGGAACCGAAGGCCTGAAAAAGGGAATAAGGACCTACTCTGGGGTCCTGGTAACTCGGGTTTAGGGTCTAGGGTCTAGGGTCTGGGGTTTAGGGTTTAGGGTTTAGGGTTTAGGGTTTAGGGTTTAGGGTTTAGGGTTCAAAACTAAAATCCGAAAGCGGCACTCTAGGTAGCGTCGCAAGTGCCAAGCAAGCGCGAAGCGGGGCAGCCTACGTGTGTTTGCGTGCGCGCGCTCACTCACTTCAGCTCCTGAGCCCCTGGATCCTTTAGGGTTTAGGGTTTAGGGTTTAGGGTTTAGGGTTTAGGGTTTAGGGTTTAGGGTTTAGGGTTTAGGGTTTAGGGTTTAGGGTTTAGGGTCCTAAACCTCAAAACCCCTAAACATAGTGTGGTGTACTGAGGAGTGTAGTCCCCCAACCCCCCCCCCCCCACCCCCCGAATAGTGTGCGGGTGCCGGTCGAAATTGAGGAATGGGGTTTGGGATCCCTAAACCCTAAACCCTAAACCCTAAACCCTAAACCCTAAACCCTAAACCCTAAACCTTGGAGTACTTGAACGTGCTAATTACTTCGCCGAGGCTTCGGTGGAAAGAAGAAAAAAAGCTGCTGCAGCACGTCTGGGTAGTTCTCTATATTAGGGTCCCTTTGATTAAGGTCCCCTTTCTTAGTACGGCACTTCAGAAACGGGAGCACCCAAAAGGGAACCTACTTCAGAGAACCACCCATATGCTGAACTATCTCTAGACAGTTTAACCACACTCTACGAGGATCGTGCCGACCATCATCAGCATTCAGTCCGAACAGCCTAAAAACCATGGAAGCCCTCGATGCTCGTGAGCCTTGCTTCGCAAACCATAGACGCCAACATGAACCCGAAAGCCGTAAATCTAAGTTTTCGCCTGGTGAGGTGCAATCTGGTGTCGTGCATATGTAAGAAAAGCCTTTTTTGGACCGAAGATAGGATCCTTGGAACGGAATTTAGGGTCCTTATAACTCTACTTATAACTAGGCCTGCCCCTTCTTGTAGAAGCCTTGATAGCCCAGTAACCATATTAAAAAAAAGGGTACCCTTCTTTTGCGTTGGCTACTTTATAAGGGAACCCAGAACAAATTTAGAAGCCTTGATAGCCCAGTAACCATATTAAAAAAAGGGTACCCTTCTTTTGGATTGGCTATTTTATAAGGGAACCCAGAACCAAAAACAGGGTAAGTACCACTGGGCTACCAAGAAGCCTCATAAACCCTAGCCCTAAACCCTAAACCCTAAACCCTAAACCCTAAACCCTCTTTATGATGAAACCCACACCCGGAGTTCCTGGGCTCCCAGCAGCTGAAGCTCTCGCTGTGCTTCTGCGCATCTTCTGCCTGGAGCCGCGGACGGGCTTAGGGTTTGGGGTTTGGGGTTTGGGGTTTAGGGTTTAGGGTTTGGGGTTTGGGGTTTGGGGTTTGGGGTTTAGGGCTCGCTTGCCCCAGAAGGCCAGGAGCCAGGCCCCCGGTGCACCTGCGTAGGGCTTCTACTCGAAGGTTCGTTGGGGTACTTGTCTACTATTTGCTTAAGAACCCTTCAAAAAATGAATGAGAATGATCCCTTATACTTGTCCTTATAAGGAAGAATATCTTCTATTCTTCGGGGGGGAGGGGGGGTCTCAAGCAAATAGCAGCTATACGTAGGGTTATAAGTGGCCTGAAAAAGGTTAAAACAATCGTTACCCCATGTACAACCTTACTTCTAAGTAGTCCAAACATGTCCCCGCAACCTTCAGCTCTCAACCAAGGGTTAGGGTTTAGGGTTTAGGGTTTAGGGCTTAGGGCTTAGGGCTTAGGGTTTAGGGTTAGGGTTTAGGGTTTAGGGTTTAGGGTTTAGGGTTTAGGGTTTAGGGTTTAGGGTTTAGGGTTTAGGGTTTAGGGTTTTAGTGTTTAGGGTTTAGGGTTTAGGGTTTAGGGTTTAGGGTTTAGGGTTTAGGGTTTAGGGTTTAGGGTTTAGGGTTTAGGGTTAGGGTTTAGGGTTTAGGGTTTAGGGTTTAGGGTTTAGGGTTTGGGGTTTAGGCTTCAAGGGTTGAGGGTTGAGGGTTTACTATTTACAGTTTCGGGTTTAGGATGCGCAGCTCATAGGCCCCAAACCCTGGGCACCAGTTCGATCCTCAACTTCTCAGGCCGGGGCCGAACCACTCGACCTCAGATGCGAGGGGGGGGGGCAGGGGGGGGTACTTGGAGGTTCGTGGGTACTTATACGTAGGGTTGTAAGTGGGGAAAGTATGGCTATAACCTCATTAAGGGTAATTACCGAAAAACCCTACTTAGAAGTACCTATGCACCTCCAAGTAAGAGGTTTGGAGTTTTAAGCTTACCTTGGGCACCAAATTAACCCTCAAGTTGGCGTCATGTCGCCGATACTGCCACTGCTATAACTCCTCTCAAGGTAGATGAGCCATAAACCCTGTTAGGGTTCATTTGGTCCTCCAGGTAGGGAGCACGGTTCACAAGTTCAGCGCTTGCAAGTAAGGTTCAGGGTTCAAGGTTCGAACTATCAGAAGGTTCAGGGTTCAAGGTTCGCACTATCAGAAGGCTTAGTGTTTATGATTTCCCGTATGGCTTCGAGGTTTAGATATTTTGGGGGTTTACGAATATAAGGGAACCCCAAAATTGGCCCCAAATTCTGGGATTCCTTATAAAAATTTAAAAAAAAAACCCAAGAAGGTATCCTTATTTCAAAGACCCCATTTCAGCATTGGGTTGAAGATGCTAAGCACTGCGTTTGTAGGAGTTGGCATTTTCGATTGTTTTACGGGCACAGGACGAACCCGAAGGGTGAACGTGCCTGTACACACATTATATACTTGGGCCTTGAAGGGGGTGCTACAGTAGAATCGTACAGGACCCAAGTCTACCATAAAAGGTACCGGGACCCTTGAAGGGGGATTTCACAGATTGCTTCGGGATGGTACTTTGCACTCATGCACCCTAATTAAACCCTAAACCCTAAACCCTAAACCCTAAACCCTCAACCCTGAACCCTAACCCGTTGCAGGTCCAATCAGGGCAGGACATACGAGGAGGGCCCCCCTTGCTATACTAACTACACTTAAGGGACTATAACCTAAGATAGGATCCTTTGAACCCACTTAAGGGTCCTTATAACTCTACATACAACTAGCGGTCCACGCTTCTTGTACAGCCTTCTTGTGCGGAGCCTGTCTACAGACCTGTTCAGATGCCGTCCCGTGATGAGGCTAAGCCCGTGGCTAGCAGAAACGTTGCCTCAGCCGCGTGCAAGCAACGCAGCATCTACTGTTTGCTTGAGAACACCCCAAAACATCAAAGGATGCACCGCCGCAAGCTCCACTAACCAATGCAATCATCTCTTTTTCATCCTGCGAACCCTAAACGCTAAACCCTAAACTTTAAACCCTAAACTTCCTAAGGGCCCCTAGAGGCCCTCGTCGAGCCAAGGCATGGTGATTCGGCTGAGACGTGCGACCAAAGTCTCACAAACCCTGAATTCTGAGACGTCCTTTCAAGATCTTGTTCAGTCAGTCGACATCCAGAAAACACAACTGAAACACGGTCACCTGTCACCTGCGTCATGTCGGTAAATTCAGGCATGTGCATGACAGCGTATGAACCGGTATGAACCATGCGAAACATCAGTGTGCGGCTTGAAAGGCACGACTTCCAGTACGTTTCCCCCAGTCACTACGAGCGATTAAAGACCGCTGACGGACTACTGCGCTGAATAGGCTGGCCAAGGGCAAAGGGCTTACTTGGAGGTTCATGGGTACTTATAAGTAGGGTTACAAGCGGGCAAGTATGGCTAAAATATAACCTCACTAAGGGTACTTATAACCCTACTTAGAAGTACCCATGAACCTCCAAGTAGGGCTTAGGGTTCCAAGTAAAACAAGCCGTTTAGGGTTCCAAGTCAAACAAGCCCGCAGAGCCAACGAAAACAACAACGATGTGGAACCTTGAAGCCCTAAACCGTAACCCCTGGACGGTGCCCGGGGTTTAGGGTTTAGTGATTAGGGTGCAATTCGGGATTTTCGAGTAAAGGGGATTGACAATTTACGGATCCCTTCGAAACTTCTAAGCTCCCGGCCAGGAAAAGTATGCTCGCCACGCTCGGTGCGGCGCCGCCCATACCGGGCAGCGTCCGCTCCTGGCAATCAACACATCAGATGCTTTTGAACTGAAGCCTTTCAGATGGAAGGGTGAGGGAGGGGGGCCATGTTCCCTTGTTTGGGCTTGTTAAGGCTTCCTTGGGATTATGAAGCCCTCATTTGAGAATATGGAGGCCCTTACACTCCCCTCCCCTTCAGCCCCTTGCTTCCTTATGAAGCCTTCGGCGCCCAACCCGTGAACCCTGAGCTCTTCATTTCAAGGCCTCGCTCGGGCTCGTGGTCAGAACACATCTAAAAAGTCCCATCTAGCTAGGATGGGTATTAAGAAGACATAAGAGCAGAGGCAGTTCCCTCCTCGGCAATTGCAACTCCTTCGTAAGAGACTCAGAGTTGCCTAGTCAGCCACATAGAAAAGGGCTACCCAAAACGCCATGTAGAGCCCCAGATATCTTGGACGCATGCCTTTTGCCATGATGCTGCAATGAGGGCGGAGTGTCCTACAGCTCTTAAACCAAGACTCCCCAAACCCAACCCCCCCTAAACCCCTAAACCCTGTTGAAGGACACCCAAACATCCTGAAATCGTAAGCCCAACACTTACCAACCTGAACGGTAGTAAGGGCCGGTGGATGAGGGCCCCACCACATCCATCCACACGATCCAGCAGCTCACAAAGAAGATGCACATCTGGCATCCAGGGCATGGTGCTTTGTGGCGTTGGGCAGTCGGACGCCACCGAGCAACATGGGAAAAAAGGGAGCCTTATCCTGAACTAAGTGCACGGGACCTGGTCCGGATACACCCCCCCCCCCCCCCCCCCGAAAAAAAGAAAAGAAGTCCGAACAGCTAGCCCTGGACCCTAACCCTTGCCGACCCGCAAAACTCCTAAACCTGAAATATTCCGAACGACTAGAACACCAAGACCAAAACAAAACTAAGAAAACCCTCTAAAACCCGTGTAAACAAGCATCAAAACCTCTGACAACGCTGCTGCGTCGGGTTACAACCAGGATAGCAGGCCACACTGTACCCAGATTCCTGGGAGGATCCCAAAAGTAGATCCCCTTAAGGGTTTCTAAGATGACCCACTAGTAGCATGGGGTACTACTTGGGGGCTCTACTTCTATCTGTGACCCCTGCACGCCACACCCACCCTGATGCCTCAACCCTAGAACCCCTGCAAAACCCCTAGCAAGCCCTGTATAGGGGCTTCGCTAAAGGCCCCGAATAAAGCCTTCTAAGCCCCCAACATTGTCTAAACCCTAAACCCTAAACCTTAAACCCTAATCCTACTACACCTGCCTTGAAGAGCACACCGGAGTCCGGCTTCATGATGCCACCTAAAAAGAATTCGAAGCCGAACTGCATCGCGAGGTCCACCTTTTCGAAAAACTTGGGGGGTTTGGGGGGTTGGGGTTTTTGGGGTTTGGTTTGGGGGTTTGGGGGGTTTGGGGGGTTTGGGAGGTTGGGGGGTTTGGGGGGGGTTTGGAGGCTTGGGGGTTTGGGGTTTGGTTTGGAATTTAGTGCGCTGTAGGGTCAAATTGAGTACGCTGTATAGCTTGTCCGCAGGACGGCGTAGAGGCCGAACAGTCTCGTCCAACGAGAGCAACCGAGTGTTTCATGCCACGTGATTGGCTGTTACTTCTGATGAAACGAAGCCTTTCTCATCTCCCAAAATAGGGGTACCCCTTGTATTCCCCAAATACATTAGAATCCCTTTAAAGGGACCCCCAAAAGGGTACCCCTTTTCGGAAACCACCATGTTGACTACCAGGAATTCGCGTCCAAAAGAAAGACTTTCGGCACATGGTCAAGGCCATGCATCCGCTGTAGGCGATAGATGCTGGGGCGATTTGGGTGGGGCGGGCCAGAGAAGGGTTTAGGGTTTAGTGTTTAGGGTTGAGGGTTTAGGGTTTGTGGCCTTGCTTTCCTTGTCACTATTGTTGCTACTATTCTTGCTATTTTACAACCCGAGCAACTCGGACATTCCGGGAACTGCTGCGGCCCTGGCATCATTGGTGATGCGCTGGTCCGCCGATTCGACGCGCCCGTCCAGGTTGCTGAGGACCTCAGGGGGCTTTTTGGGGATTCATGGGTACCTGTAACCCCAATAAGAAGTCTACCTATAACCTACCTAGAGGACTTAGAGGACTTATGTGGCTTATAAGTACCTGAAAGGCTAGGATGGCCCTCACAAAACCCTCTGAAACATATTCCTGGATATGATCCTCGTAAACCCAGTAAGAGAAAATATGAAGTATCCCAAGGGCCTACCAAGAAGGGTCCAGCAGTAGGGTTGTGGGGTTCAGTGTTGAAAGGGTGTAGGGATCCGGATGCATAACAGGGGGGTTTAGGGCTCATCTTAAGTGTGTTTACCTTTTGTTCATTCTTGTTTGAAACGCGGGCATAAGTAACGTCTTGTTGGCAGTTTCCGGAAGGGCCTGGGGGGGTTGAGGGCACGCTCTCTCGCTCTAAGGGGCGAAAGCTCACAAACCCAACGCACTAAGCCCCCTGCCCTAAACTCGTAATCAAATCCTATAAGCCCCTAGGCCCTGAAAACCCTAGCGCCCCCACAAACCGTAAACTGCTCCAAAACTGACGAAAATCCCAATCTCCCTTCCCAACAGCCTTCAGTCATTTGTCCCGTGGGCTGAGTAAACCGCCCTTACCATCTACCTGGAGGTTCATGGGTACGCAGCAACAGGGTTAGAAATCGGGTAACTATGGATGGAACCTTTCTTAGGAAACTTAGAACCCTTAAAGCCCTACTTACTTATAAGTACCCGTGAGCCTTCAAGCAGCTCGAAACCCTAAACCCTGAAGCCCAAACCCCAAACTCTGAACCCCATACCCTAAACCCAAGGCCTCAAAAGGCCCCCCCCCCCCCCTGCCCCCTGTAAGCAGAAGGCATAGTAGATGCGATCGCTGCTTCCTCAGTTTGGTTCAAAGCTGAGGGACTCAGGCCTGCGGAGCGCTGAACTTCGCAAACTGGAGCATGAGAGCCACAGTACAGGGCTTAGGGCTTAGGGTTTAGGGCCCAGAAGGGTTTCCTACAAGTTTTTAAGCCCTCAGCGACAGGAAGGGCACTTGGTTCACTGCGCAAAGGACTTCCTGCAAGCACAAGAGAGCCAAGTGTCTCAGATACATCCTCTGCAGATGCTGGAAGAGTCGCGACCGCCTGGGCGGCAAGAACTGTCTGGCAAGCTCAACTTTCTGTTTGAAGGGATGTCCTGGCATACAGGCCTCGAAACATGCCACTCAACCCCCCGAGCTGAAGTCCCAAGTCACCAATAAGAAGCTGCCTTTGCCGGGTTTAGGGAGTTAGGGGGTTTAAGGGTTTAGGCGGTGAGTTGCCGGAATTCCAGAGGTGGCAGGGGTGGAGCTGAGGAACAAATTGTCCGACTGCGAGTGTGGACTAAGGGTTTGGGCGGGGGTGGGGGGGGGTTCCAACGTTTAAGGTCCAACGACCATCTGAGCGGGCGACCACTCCAACATCAACAGCACGGTGAAGTAATTGGCGATGGCTTTGGCAACCTCACAGACATCACTGGGGAAGCCATATGCCACCCCGAGAAACCCCGACACCACTAAATTGTTTGATAATTATGTTAAGGGTGTGCATCTCGGGCTTAACAAAGTTGATGCTGATTATTACCCGGGGGGTGGGGGGGGGGGTGCAAACCATGCGCATTCAACCGCAATCCTCAACCCAAGCCCCATGTGCAGCCTCAGCCCTACAACCTACAAAAACTGGATGAATAAAGCAAGACTCTAAGCCCCTAATTAGAAAAAAGGAGCACTGCAGGTGTCTCAAGAAAACAGGGGGGAGACGTTAGTGCGGGTGGGAGAGAGACTTGCCAGTAGTGTAGGCAAAAAGGAGCACTGCAGGTGTCTCAAGAAAACACGGGGGAGACGTTAGTGCGGGTGGGAGAGAGACTTGCCAGTAGTGTAGGACCCAGAGCTAGATGTTTTCAACGCTACTTCACACACACAACAAAAAAACCAACCACAGATTCTGAGTGTTAGCTCTAAAGTGAAGGGTCTAGGTTGGGATGCTCCCCCTTGTACTACAGTCCTTGGTAGAGATTATAGTACACCCGATGATAATCCCTATTCAGGACTGTTGGTATAAGCGGGAACATCCCAAGGTTTAGGGTTTAGGGCTTGGGGATGCTTGGGGTTTAGGGTTTGGGTACCAATTAGGATTGGTCTTGGTTTCTTTGTTCTCCTCCAATGCGTAAATGACTGAATCTTGGTCGTAAATCAGGATGGCTGATCGGCTTACAAAGTGTAGGTTGGCGGGGATGGCCTTACTTGGCCGTTCATGGGTGCTTCTCAGTAAGGTGATAAAGTAGCCCTAAATAAGGGGGTTATAACCACAGCTACCCTACTTAGAGCCCTATAGTGATAAGGGACCTACGAACCTCCAAGTACGCGGTTTTGGATTTATAGGGTTTGGGGTGCCTGTTGAGTTTTGGCGGTGCAAGGGTTTTTGGGTCGGGGGGGGGGGGGGGGGGGGCAGGGGGCGATTGCATGCCATACTTCGCCCTACATGTACCAGACCGTATGCTCACAGGGACCTCATGCGCCATGTCTATGGAACTGTGGTACAATGGCCCGACATTCTCATCACATACTACCCCTACGAAAACATGCAACTCTGTCTGATATCGCGAATGCGAACTGGGGCCCTGGCACCCATGGCAGGCCCCCAGCATAGGATCACCGGCATCATCCGCGAGTAGCTGATGGTAATGCCTCGAAGTTGGAAGACCAACAGACACTAAGACTGAAAAGTCCTAAAAGCCCAAACCCTGATGACCCTCAAGCCCTAATTTACGAAATGCAGCTCAGCTCTAGAACCCCAAAGCTTAAAACGGCTCCCTGGCACCGTTTGGAACCTCAATCCCTGCATCACTGGAGCGGCTTGAAAGGTGTGACTAGATTGAAGCTGCTTGGCAGTAACTTGGGATGCTCCCCCTTATACTAACAGTCCTTCATAGGGATTATACTAGGGGTACTATTCGCCCGTTTTAAGGACTGTTAGTATAAGAGGGAACATCCCAAGTGGTAGCTCTT